TGTAGGTGTGTGTGCGTGTGTGTGTGTGTGTGTGTGTGTGTGTGTGTGTGTGTGTGTGGTCCCCACAATTGATGATAAAAGTAGTAGTCCCCATAAACGATGGAAACCAGTCTGTGTGTGTGTCTGTGTGTGTGTGTGTATCTTGCCTGTCTCAGCTCCATTGAATTTTTTTCTCCAGTACAGCAGCAGAGCCAGAGCAGTGATGACGAAGGACGGAGGCAGGACTGTCAGCAGAACGTCTGCAGAGGTTTGTAGAGACAAATCTGGATGGTCTCTGACTGCTGCTGTCGCAGACCAACAGCGCCCCTAGGCTCTCTCTCATGTCTTGGCACAGTATTAATACATCTTTTCAATAAAATTAGCTTTACCTGAAATTATTAATCAGATCAATTGTGATTAATCAGTTACTAAAATAATCATCAACCAGTTAATGAATGAGTTATTCATTAACTGGAGTATATAGACTCGAAAGGCTGTTTGCTGAAAATAAACACATTCAGAGCAGGAATTATGCTGAAATGGGGGATATAGATTTGAATTGAAGATGAAAACATTTATAAATAGGTTTTTGCTTCTCCTGGTTCAGATTTGCTGCAGGAATTATCATTAAATGATAATTAACTGGTCATTTAATAATTTAAAAAAGGAATTTGATTATTTGCATTATTTAATTAGAGCCTGGATTAAGCTAAAATTATGGTGGAAAGAAATCAGCCACTGACCTTTAAAAACAGATTTCTGACCAAAAATTAACATTTTGAATCAGTAATACATGTATTTATACCAATATCACATATCAGTCTCTATGTATCTCTTACTGCTGTTGGATTTAGTGTCGGACGCTCGCTGCATCGCCTGACAGAGATCGGTGGTTTCTGAGGAAACTGAAGTAGTGAAACTTCCTGAAGTGGAGCTGAAACTCTGTGTTGTTGTTGGTGGGAAGGTTGATTCAGGAACTGGAAAATATCAGAGACAACCTGGATTTAATTTAAGGAGCTATAAATATGATAAAAACAGCCTGGAAAATCTGAATTATGGGCAGTTATGCAAGTTTGGCTTCCCAGCAAAAATCGTCTCTCATATTTGAAAAGATATAAACCAAAAAAGGACCCAATAAAAGACTCCATTAGAAATACTCACAACATTATATTTTCAAAAACTCACCCCGAGTGACGATGATGTAAAGTCTCTGTGTAGATCTGATCGAATCGCTCTGTCCAGTTTACATTGGTACCATCCAGAGTCAGACTGGGTCAGCTGTGAGATGGTCACCAACAGAACTGCTGATTTTCGTCTTCTATCGTATTCAATGCTGTATCTGCCTCTGTCAGCTCCGACTCCATCAGTCTGAACTAGAACTTCATCTTTTCCACATTCTCCTCTGCAGAACAGTCGTTTCCATCCAGAGTCTTCAAAGGAGCAGGCGACTGTCAGTGAACCGCCGGCGTCACTATGGAGGCGAGGAGCATTGTTCCCATCCAACAGAGCTGTTAGAATAATCATCAGTTAATTATCATCAGTCAATGATCATCAGTCAATAATCATCAGTCAATGATCATCAGTCAATGATCATCAGTCAATGATCATCAGTCAATAATCATCAGTCAATGATCATCAGTCAATGATCATCAGTCAATAATCATCAGTCAGTGATCATCAGTCAATGATCATCAGTCAATGATCATCAGTCAATGATCATCAGTCAATAATCATCAGTCAATAATCATCAGTCAATAATCATCAGTCAATGATCATCAGTCAATGATCATCAGTCAATGATCATCAGTCAATGATCATCAGTCAATGATCATCAGTCAATGATCATCAGTCAATAATCATCAGTCAATAATCATCAGTCAGTGATCATCAGTCAATGATCATCAGTCAATGATCATCAGTCAATGATCATCAGTCAATGATCATCAGTCAATGATCATCAGTCAATGATCATCAGTCAATGATCATCAGTCAGTGATCATCAGTCAATGATCATCAGTCAATGATCATCAGTCAATGATCATCAGTCAATAATCATCAGTCAATGATCATCAGTCAATGATCATCAGTCAATAATCATCAGTCAATGATCATCAGTCAATGATCATCAGTCAATGATCATCAGTCAATGATCATCAGTCAATAATCATCAGTCAATGATCATCAGTCAATAATCATCAGTCAATGATCATCAGTCAATAATCATCAGTCAATGATCATCAGTCAATGATCATCAGTCAATGATCATCAGTCAATAATCATCAGTCAATAATCATCAGTCAATGATCATCAGTCAATAATCATCAGTCAGTGATCATCAGTCAATAATCATCAGTCAATGATCATCAGTCAATGATCATCAGTCAATGATCATCAGTCAATAATCATCAGTCAATAATCATCAGTCAATAATCATCAGTCAATGATCATCAGTCAATAATCATCAGTCAATGATCATCAGTCAATAATCATCAGTCAATAATCATCAGTCAGTGATCATCAGTCAATGATCATCAGTCAATAATCATCAGTCAATGATCATCAGTCAATAATCATCAGTCAATTATCATCAGTCAATAATCATCAGTCAATGATGTTTTATGTGTTACAATGAGAATGTTGTTTTCTTCTTCACAGTTTTCCCAGCAGAAGATCTTCCATCCTCCAGATGAAGGAAAGGAACATCTAATGTTAATTTCTTGTCCAGAAACTTGATAAAAACGCTTCACAGACTCATCGGTTCTGCTGTTGGTGATGTGCAGAGCTGCAGAACAGACCAACAGTTAATGTCAGGACTTCCTGTTGTTCTGATTCAGTTATGGACCGGCTCCAAGCGAGAGCAAAACCTCACGTCTCTGTAATAAACTCCTGATGAATTTCACCTTCAACCCCCAAGAATCCAAACATTAAAACTAAGAAGTTCTGAAACGATCCGATTGGAAACGTGGAAATGATCAAAATTAGATTCCAAGCTTAAATGTTGCAGCTTTAATGTTCAGGAAGCAGAAACATCTCAACAAGCCTCTGTTTTGCTCTGGTTATTTTAAAACTTCATCTTCCTGTTTTAAAGCCGACCAAACGCTCGGCTGCCTGCTGAAGTTTCACTGCAACAGATTCTGTGTGGATGATGATCATGTTGAAACGGATGTTTTCCTGCTGTTGTTGTTTTAATCACGTTTCTCCTCCTTTAAATAAAATGATTTAACTTCCTGGTCAAGTCAGTTCTTGTTCTGCAGCTTCATTTTGATGAAACATTGAGGTATAAACATTTTCAGACGTATTCCTACTCTAGCATTTTATATGTGATGCATCCTTCTGCACCAGCGATGTATCCCACGATGCATTGCACCAAGAATGTGTGCAGAAATGTATCATCTGTAAATCTCAATTTATTTTCCATACAAAGCAGCTTTAAGATGCTTTTAGGAGAGATAGTGATCTGGAAGCTTCTTCTAAAATCAGTTCATCCAGGACGATGTTGGTCTGAAACGTTTCTGGGTTTTTGGAGCAGTAAACCTCGGCTAACCGCCTGCAGCCGGAGGGACTGTTCACCCGCTAACTGCAGCATGAGCTGTCATTGTCCTCTTCCTGTTATCTGCTTGTAGCTGCTGACAGTTCTAGGTTTGGATGTAGCTTCCTAAAGCATTGTGAGTTTCTCTTTTTTACTGCTATAGTTTGTGTCTCATTGATTAATTATCCTGTCAGAGCAGACAATCATAAATATGTGTAAAGACATCAATAGAGTCTAAGAACGGATGAAAAGAACAGAAATAAACAGATAAAGGAACTTAGAGAGGAAGAAGAAGCAGAAGAAAGAGTGATGGACGCTCATGATGAAGCTCTGAAGGTTTCCTGCTGCAATAAGTGAACAACTTCCTCCTCCAGTCGACATAAAGCTTCCTCTTATTTTCCTCTTTCTAGTTTTTACCTCACAGCATCTCTGTGACACTTAATGCTTTAAATGTTCATTTAAATGGTCTCTGAACTGATGGGAGAGTCGGTGTGGATGGTTGTTGGTTCTTTATGTCTCCCTGAAACCTCCGGAGGTTCTCACACAGAATGATGCAATAATTTATATATATATAAAAAAAATTAAAATTCCCTTCTCACCACCGCGGTGGTTCTGATCCTCTGAGCTCGGGTCCCAGTAGGTGATGTCGTCCCAGTTTGATCAGCTGACCTCAGGTGAACCCAGCAGTCAGATGAGACATGACGCACCCTGCTGGCCATTCTGTATATGACAGGTCATTTCTAATGAAATCAGTTGAATCTGTTCACAGCTGATGATCATGTTGCTCATCTCCATGCATGTCAGATTAAACATGAATTAGATCATTTCTTATGGTGTCTTTATGTTTGGATTTTATTGTTATAAATGCATGAACTTGTTCAGAGACATAAAAACATTTTAAGTTAAAATGAATAAAATAAAAGAAAGAACATGTTATGTGTGATCTTTGTGTGATGTAAAACTGATTTAACTCAAATTTTTGTGAGCAGGAAGGATCTCCAGTAGCAGCCTGTCTGTGGTGGAGTATGAAAAGGCCTCTGACTGAAGCTGACTTGCTAACAGCAGCAGAGATGATATCCCTCAGCAACATGTCCTGGATGACATCACCAGGTGTCTCGCTCTGCTGATCCACCTCCTTTGCTTGAATTGTCTGTCTGGGCAGAGAGACGTTGGAGTCTGGGATGACGATGAGGCGGTTTGAACTTCCTCCTCCTCTGTCTGCATCCATGAAGCCTCCATTCGAAATCCTCTGGAATTTGAGGTCAAACAAACAACTTCTCACGTGTCACAGACCTGTTTGTTCAGCCAGACAGCCCGTCATTCTGGTTCTGCTGGACCTTCAATCAGAATGAGTTCATTTTCCGCTGTGTGAATCCAGGCAGCGAGGGGTTAACAGATGCCACGATTAGCTGTAATACAGGCAGAAAAGGGGAGGAGGGAAGTTTACGTCATGTTTAACCTTTGATTTAAAAAGCCAGACATGAGAAAAGAAGCAGCAGGAAACCCATTCATCATGACTGAGGCTCTGATCGGCTTCTTTTTCCTCTGTGAGTACGATTTCTCTTCCTTCTGGCAGAATCAGATAAAGATCACAGAAAATTTACCAAAACCACTTTTACTGATTCGTGTTTGAGCAAATCCTCGTCGGTTTGTGCTCTGCAGACAGAAGGAGGAGCAAAAACCGCTTTTATCATTGAATCAATCTGGAGATTTTAATTTGAGCTGAAACTCAATCAACTCTTCAGATTAATAATCTGAGTACAGATTATTAATCTGAGTTCAGATTAATAATCGGAGTTCAGATTAATAATCTGAGTTCAGATTAATAATCTGAGTTCAGATTAATAATCTGAGTTCAGATTATTAATTTGAGTTCAGATAATGGAAGAAGACATAACTTGTCCTTTAAAGACGGAAATTTGACATAAATGTTACCGGAATCGTTTCCCAAACGATTGAAATGAAATTCATCGTCTGAAAAATGGTTTTGAAAACCTTGGAAAACGTTTCAGATTTTCTGATGGTCTATAAAATAACGTGGGAGGATTTCAGGCTTAAAATTCAAACTGGACTTTTTATCCACAGCCAAAATATTTAAATGAAGTCAAAATGCTTCACAAAGCAAAGCAGAAACATTTTATCCCTAAAGGCAAAAAGACCAAAGTTTAGATAAAATCAAAGTTAAAACACATTTTAAAATATTCAACAAAATTTCTGCTGGAAACAAGTTTTGAAGTTTTCTAAAGTCGTTCGATGAAGAAATGATTTTCATCAGTGAATCATTTCAGACAGAAACTTTCCATCTGATCAATAATCGATATGTTCATGTTCACTGCGGCTTCATGGCTTCAGCTCCAGTCTGACCATTAAACTATTTACCATTTTAAAACCAGATCAGCACTGAAAGTTATTCTACAATTATGGTGTTTATTAAAAATTCATATTTCTAATAGAAATGAGACATTTGGAGCAGACGTATTGGATCTGTTAAACATGTTGCCAGTAATTCTGACAAAATGTAGGAAAAAATGTTTATTTGGTCAATTCAAAGAATATAATTATAAATGCCACTGAAATCCATCAAAATGTGTTTTCACATATTTAAAAAATAATAATTTCTATTATTAAGCGTAACAGTTCACAATATATCATTTAATTAAACATTATTTGCTACATAATTATTATTACTTTGATAAAAATACATTAAATTTAATTCTGTCTTCAGATTTGGGTGGTATTAAACGGCCGCTGCTCCGCCTGCATGAAGCCCAGCAGAAACAAACAGAACCGTTTTTATTTCTGACCCAAACTCTGAAACGGATCAGAGTCACTGCAGGTCTGGGTCTCCAGAACCGACCGACTGGCCCGGTTATCACTGGACTTATTGGATCTGAAGGTTCTGCCATCATAGCTGCAGGTTATTTATGGGTTTTGATGCAAAACGTTGAGAAAACAGATGAACTTCCTTCCACTATGCACCATAAACATTCTTTATGTAATGAAATATGTTCATGTGTTGTACAGTAAAGCCCAGAAGCATCTCTCCACAAATAATCATCAGTGTCGTGTTTTTTATTTGAAATGGATGAAATCTTTTGGAAATGATCTCCAGTATTTCCAGTAAAATCCTTTTCATTGCTGCAGCTTCTGCTCATTTCCTCTGCTGTTTATCTTTGAGCTTCAAGGCTTCGAGGTGAAGCCAAAAAAAAACATGACAGATGTGAGTTTTAGTCGCTTCCATTTCTGGGTTTCATTTCTTAAAAGAAACTTTGCTGCAGGTCGGAGAGAGTTCATGTTCAGTTCTGAAGCAGATCTTGTGGTTTCTCTCAGCAGACACTGATGTCGTTTCTCTGCAGCTCTGCAGATCTCCAGCAGTCCTGCTGCAGGGGATCAGATGAACGGATCAGCAGGAGGAGATTTCTCAGGATTTTGTGGCTCTTCTTTCTCTGGAACCAGGAAGATCTTCTGCAGGGAAAACTGTGGAGAAGGAAACGTTCTGGTAGAAACTAAGGAGGATTCAGCTGCAAACGGACGATACAGCATTGAATATGTCAGAGGTCAAGTGCCAAACATTTACAGCTTATTGGTGAAGATCTCAGGCCTGACTGGGTCGGACTCGGGTCGGTACCGATGTGGTTTGGGTGAATCCTACCAGGATTTCACTCTCAGTGTTTCAGGAGGTGAGTTTCTGAAACACTGATTACTCTTTAGATTAATGGACTAATTAACACGTCTGCTGTCCACATTCAGCTGCTTTTCCTTCAGCTCCCCACAGCATGATTCTGCCGCCGCCGTGCTTCAGCATGGTGCCCTCAGGTCGTTCTCCTCAGGTTCCTCCTGCATGAAACAGCTCACAGCTTCCAGACTGAAACTTTGTGGTCAGCAGAAAATCTGAAACTTGCAGAAACAAAACCACTCAGATTTATAAAACCGCATGTAAAACTTCCACCACAAACTTTACAGTTTATAAACTTAGCAACAGATTTTGTTCAATAGGCGTCTTTCAGGGCTGCAAGGCTGACATTGAAACTTAAAACTTTAAAAAGCAAAATAAAATTTAGGGAGTGAAAACTGAAGGGATGTGTTGATCAGTTAAAATGGAAAAGCTTTTTAAAATCGTTTCTGATTCTCTGCATAAATGTAAATCTTCCACATGTCTCTGCCATCTGTCAGTGGATGAGATGTCAACATCCCCCATTTCAGTGTCAACCTCTTCAACCTCGACAGCAACACATCCATGGAGTCTGAACTCCAGCTCAGAAAGTTTTACACCTTCAGCTTCCTCTGCAAGCAGCAACCAGCCTGTGAGCCACGGAGAGGAGAAAACCCCTGACGGTAAACCAACACTCACTCTGCTCTGGACTCTGATGCTTCCCAACAGAAAAGCAGCTAAAGATGAATATGTAGATGTTATTCTCCTTGCTGTGACTCTTATTGTGAAATGGAAAACCTCCTCAGGGCCTCCTGGCTGCTGTCTCTGTTTGCATGTGAAGAAATGTTTGCATCCAAACTGACGCTCTGTGTGAAACGTTGTGTAGAAACGTCTGCTGGGCGCCTGCTGGCGGTGGTTCTGACCGGGGCTGGCATCCTGTTATCTGCGGCTCTGCTGGTTTTCTGCAGACGGAGACGTCAAAACCTTCTGACAGGTAAACAACAGGAAACGCTTTCTGTGGTTCTGGGGCCGTCAGACCCAGAAGAACAGGGTGAGAGATCAGCAGGAGGAACCAGGCTGCAGTGAAGGCTCGTGGGAACCAGAGCCGTCATCTGCAGCCTGGCTGTGAAACACGCGATTCCTGCACAGGAAGTGATGTCGTTTTGGTATTAATGCCTTCAGGGGAACCTGGATGAACGGGACCGCCTGGTGCAGCGTGCAGACCGACGCTGCCACCATGAGACACAGACATGAGGGTGGGAGTGTAAACCTTGTTCTGTGTTCATCACTTCCTGTGTGAAAGAAGTCAAAGGTCGCCTCGCCCGCCGTCTTCGTGGGAAATTAAAAATAACACAAGTAATGCAGTCATGATGCTGCCACCACCATGCTTCACCATCAGGTTGAGGTTCCTTCACTGAGGAATTTTATATGAATAAATGTTAATATTTCTCTTATAACTGTGTCAACAATGATCAAGTTTATCAGCGGGGTTAAAAAAGGCCAAACAACATTAAGTTCTTGCAGAATAAAGACGAAAGTCTCGTCATCCTCCACCTGTTTCCATTTTATAACTGTGAAGAACCTGAGCGGAGGATCTCAGCAGATCACCCAGAGGCAGTTAACTCTCCATCAGCCAATCATCACTCTGCAATCAGGTTTTATGAAGGCCATGTGACCCCAGTCAGCCAATCACATGAAGCTGACGCCCAGACGCCTGAACTCTCAGTTAAGGCGCGTTAACTGCAGTCTAAGCAGCCGGCCTGGTTTCACTGCTTGGTACTGAAAACAACCACAGAGGAAACATTTACACAGATCTCAGCAGCAACTGAGACGCATCAGTTTTAATACAGAAACAAAAGAAGAACTGAGGATTAATATGAAACAAACCGTTTTACAGGTTGAAGAGTTATTCTCTGTCAAACCAGCAGGAGGCGCTACACGTTGATGCCGTTTGGTATTAATGCAGTTTTATCCAGTCCAGTCTGACAGCTGATTACTTCTGCATATTCAATTTAATGTGTGTTTTATAAACTTAATCTTTATTGATGTATGTCACAAAGTGGTAAAAGCTACCAGCCCAAAGGCCATTTATAATCCCAGTATTTAATACATACGCAATGCAATTCCTGTGATAAGAAATCAGTTTTATTTTTAGGCCACATCCTCACCAGCAGGGGGCAGTAATGAGGCAATTTGCCAACCACCTTAAAACAAGAAGAAGAAGAAAAACCAACCACACCTAGCGACGGGGTCAACCACACCTAGCAACGGGGTCAACCACACCTAGCAACGGGGTCAACCACACCTAGCAACGGGGTCAACCACACCTAGCAACGGGGTCAACCACACCTAGCAACGGGGTCACCTAGCAACGGGGTCAACCACACCTAGCGACGGGGTCAACCACACCTAGCAACGGGGTCAACCACACCTAGCAACGGGGTCACCTAGCAACGGGGTCAACCACACCTAGCAACGGGGTCAACCACACCTAGCAACGGGGTCAACCACACCTAGCAACGGGGTCAACCACACCTAGCAACGGGGTCAACCACACCTAGCAACGGGGTCGGCCCACATCTGAGTGGAAGGGTCAAGTGATCAGTGAAGAGTCACCTGACAGGTGTTTTGTTGGTTCCTTCGTTTTAATGGGCTTTTCAGAGTAAGAGCCTCTGTCTCTCTGATTCACTGTTGGTTGAATCCGTTTACTGATCAGGTTATTTGTGTTTTGATGGCAGGATTGAACATAATCAGGTTTTTATGAACTATTCAGTGAACTTTGCTTTCTAACTTTTATCTGTAATCTTAATTTGTCCAGGTGTGAAAACCACAAGAGGTTTAGACAGAAGTGACCAGAAGGTAAATCATCCAGTTTACCGACGGTTTTTCTTCTGTGAGACAAAAATGTTCTCACTAGAAACTTGTTCTCTAAATCACCGTCTGAACAGAACAAATCTCCGGCTCAGACAATGAAAGCTGCATTATTTTGCTTTTCTCTTCCTTTTAGGACCCCGATTATGAAAATGATTCGTCTGGGGATTTGATTTACATGAATGCAAAACCCGTCTGCAGGAACAAGAAGTAGGATGAGACCCGGATTGAAACCCAGATTCTGCTTCTGGCCCAGAGCTGCTTTTATTATTTTCTGTTTAATATTTTTGCTTTTTGTTCCTTCTTTTTCTTTTTCTCACAGTGGGCCACCATGATTATTTATAAATGTATGTGAAAATATACTTTATATTATTTAATTAAACAATAAAGCTCAGCAAACTGCAATAACTGGAGTGTCTGTTAAAAACTCCTAAATATCAGGGAATGCAAAGAAGCTCAAAAAAAAACCGGGGGTTTTTGGTTCAATCAAAGTATTTTTCCTCTGGAAGGATCTTCAACAAATTGAAACCTCTGATCAGGAAACACATTTTCCAAAGTCACACACACACACACACACACACACACACACACACACACACACACACACACACACACACACACACACACACACACACACACACACACACACACACACACACACACACACACTCCAATAGGTGAGAATGTTCAGTGATTTGACCAGGGCCACTTCTACATGTGGTGAGGGGAATCTAACTCTCAACCCACTGAGACACATCAGTATTTTCTACGGAATGACGCCTGAAGGAGCCAGAAGTGACTTGAGCTGCAGCAGCTGCAGCAGCTGCAGCAGCTGCAGCAGAGGGAGGTTCAGGCGGTGAAGGAGTCTGCAGACTGGAGGGATGGAGGAGAGAAGTGTGAAGCTCTCAGACGGTCTGGGGGAGGAAGTGCTGCTGTATCTGACGGGTTCAGGAAACCATCACAGCTTCAGTATGACCGGCGACACTTTGCTCTGCGTCTTCTTGTGTGAGTACTTTTTACTTTTCTTCATCTCGGTTTAACAAACATCAACTTTATTGTCGCTTTAGTGCTTAACTGGACATTTTTATCTGATGTCCCTCACATATTTCTTTGTCCCAGTAGAAGACAATTGAACATCTTCACTTCCTCCTCGTCTTTGTCTTCGAGTCGTCGTCTCTGTAAACTGCAGACCTTCTTATAAAGAGTCCTGTAACGATGTGATGAAGGTCCCTGAATGCATTTTGGTCCAAACTCAGTTCAAACCCTAACCCTTACAGGAACTCGACATTCAATTTTACATCTGTTGAACGATTGTTACATCGCATAAAATGTCCCATTTTATCATAAAAAGACAAAATCAGAAGGAAAAATGTAATATAAATGTTATGATGTTACATCATAATGATTTTAAGTTTTAGAGTCTGAATCTTAGCCGTATTTTCTTTTTGTTCTCATGTTGTTGTGATTGGGATGGAAAGTTTTGTTCCTCTGCAGAATCTAACGACTGACCTCTGGTGATGGAAAGAGGCTGGTCTCACTGGTTTCTCTCACTGGTTTCTCTCACTGACACGTCGTGCTGGTTGCTGGTTTTCTGCAGACAAATAACAAACCCCCGACAGATTCAGATTAAATTTTTTTCATTTGACCGCCATCTTTGTTCTGTTTGGAGCGACTCAGCCAGACTCAAACCAGAACCTGATGGAGAATCTGAGACTGGGACGGGGGTCTCCGCCCTTTTGTCTCTTATTAATCGCAGCTCAAAACAAAGCAACTAATAAACTAAAAAAAAAGTAATAGTTGTATTGAAATTCTTCAGCTGAATGAGCGTAAAGGTTTAAATCTGTCAGCTTGTATTTAAATCCTTTTCCACAAACAGAAGAAAATATATCCATGCTCAATTTGTAAGTTATTCTTCAGGCAGATTATGGACTTGTGGATAAAAGATAAATATCAAAAAGTCAGGTGATGTCAGTGTCTCTGTGTGTAACGATGCCTGAATCCTTGGATCTCATCACCAACAATAAACCATCAAAAAAATACCAGAGGAAACATGAAAACGCTGCTGTACAGGTTTGATTCCTGTAATGTCAAATGTTTCCTTTTGATTTTTGACAAGTTTTAAACATTTCTTTACTAATGTGGAAAAACATTTTCACTATAAAAAGTGTTTAAATCTGAATAATTGTCAGATTCCCTGAAAATCGAGATTTAATGTGCAGTTTGTTTCTAAAAGTGTTGTTAAGATGGAAACTGAGTTGGTGAAGCAGATCTTGTGGTTTCTCTCAGCAGACACTGATGTCGTTTCTCTGCAGCTCTGCAGATCTCCAGCAGTCCTGCTGCAGGGGATCAGATGAACGGATCAGCAGGAGGAGATTTCTCAGGATTTTGTGGCTCTTCTTTCTCTGGAACCAGGAAGATCTTCTGCAGGGAAAACTGTGGAGAAGGAAACGTTCTGGTAGAAACTAAGGAGGATTCAGCTGCAAACGGACGATACAGCATTGAATATGTCAGAGGTCAAGTGCCAAACATTTACAGCTTATTGGTGAAGATCTCAGGCCTGACTGGGTCGGACTCGGGTCGGTACCGATGTGGTTTGGGTAAATCCTACCAGGATTTCACTCTCAGTGTTTCAGGAGGTGAGTTTCTGCTAAAACATTTTCATCTCTGGAGGAAAGTTTACCATTAGCTGCTGATGGAAGATGATTATTCATTTATGAATAATTAACTAACTGATTGTGTGAACCTTATCTTAACCACCATGTCTCTGATTATTCCCAGTTTCAACTTCCAGACCATCAACCAGTTGGAGCTCCAGTTCAGAAAGTTTTACACCTTCAGTTTCCTCTGGAATCACCAGCCAGTCGGTTCCAACCCAAGAGAACCCAACAACATCTGACTGTCAGTTATATTTATGATGTTGAAATGTTCCTTTAATGGTTCATCTTCCCACATGAAGCTGTTATTCTGTTGCTCACCTCACATTGTGGTGTGAAACCAGCAGGTTCTCCTTCCCAAACCGCTGCAGATGTTCAGCTGTTTGTGCTTCCAGTGCTGGCCGTCACCGCCGCCCTGCTGGCTGCGATGATGATGAAGGTTTTCTGCAGAAGATCAAAGAAACCTCAAACAGGTGAGAGAACAGAAACACGTTTAGGAAGCCGTTTGTTTTCTCTGATGTCTCTAAGTTAACAAAACTGTTAATGTTTCTAGATTAGAATCATTTCTATCTGTTTGGACTTAAACGTTCTTAAATGTTTAAACTTCGGTTTGTTCTGAAATGATTTCCAGATTCTGCTGTGGAAATGCATCAAAGTCCTGCTGCCTGTGAGGTGAGAAAATATTAAGCATATTATTACTGGTTCATATTGAGATCAAATTAGAAAAACAAGTTTTTACCTGCATGTTAACTCATTATTCATAAACATGGCGTTTAGAAATCTTAATGAAACTGAAAAATTCAAATAATAATAATGAAATCAGTTTAAGTTATCAGTTTGCAGTAAATATTCTGCAGGTCTGGTGATGCCAACATGTTTTCCATAAACCCTAAAATATTGCAAATGTTTATGGAGCAAAGACCTTTTCACAAAAAGTTAATGTTTTTCTCCTAAAGACGACCAGAATCGATGATGACGATGATGTCAGAGAGGAAGACGGGCGGTGGAGATCTGCTGACGTGGAGATCTACGTGGCGTACATCGACGCCATAAGCAGCTCTGTGACTGCAGCTGCTCAGCAGCGCCAAGTCAGAAAAGCCTTCATGTTTTCACTTTTCGTCATCATAAATATAATAAACAGCAGAACCTGAAAGTTTTTACACCAATTAAAGACACAAAATGATGACTAAACATATTTACTCTGCGAGTGAAATATACTCTCAGAGTAACCCTACACCCTGACTCTAACGCTACACCCCAACCCTACACCCCAACCCCAGCCCTAACCCTTCACCCCAACCCAGCCCTAACCCTACACCCCAACCCCAGCCCTAACCCTACACCCCAACCTACACCCCAACCCCAGCCCTAACCCTACACCCCAACCCTACACCCCAACCCCAGCCCTAACCCTACACCCCAACCCCAGCCCTAACCCTACACCCCAACCCTACACCCCAACCCCAGCCCTAACCCTACACCCCAACCCTACACCCCAACCCTACACCCCAACCCCTTATGACACAAAACAGTCTGAGGTTTAAAATACCATTTTAATGAATTGGTTGACGCTGTTTCTGCCTCTTTCAGGCTCCAGATGATCAAGAGGATGAAGCTGAGGTGAATTTCTCCAGCAGACTGTTGGACTCGGCTCTCAGAGCCGCTGGAGGCTGCAGCAGTGACGTCCTCTACTCCGTTTATCCGCCAGGACGAGCTGCTCTACTCAAACATTTTCTAATCTGCTCCCATTTGTTCAGATGATTTTTATTTTATGTTAAAACTGACTGGTTTTACACCAACTGAAGCTGAAGGTCTGGATAAATTTCAACTGCAGAAAATATCCATTTCAAAGTCTAAACTATCAGTTTTCAGTCGTTCCTTGGAGGAAATCCTGATTCATTTGACATGTGGTTGTGCACCTGTCTGTCCAGGAGTTACGTGAGTTTTGTTGTTTGTCTTTTTCTTTGGATGTTGTTCTTCTGTACGATGATTCAGATGCACCCAAAGTCAAATCCATCTACTGTAATATTTTTTAAAGGGTCAAGTTATAACGGTATCTCCTGTTTACTAATGAGATCAGCTAAATATCTTTTATTTCATAATGTGTCTTAAAGCTGCTCCACAGCAGGAAGTGTCCAGCATGTTTTCTTTCATTGATCTCAGTCTCATCTGACTGAGATCAATCTGCAGCTTTCTGCAGAACATTTCACCAAACGTCACAGAGTTTCTGCTTCTGGTGGCATCATGGAGGATCAACGTCTTCAGGGAAATAAACGTCTTCAGGGAAATAACAATAAATACTGAGGAGGTTCATCTTCGTCATTGCAGGTGTGTGATCTGCTGTGGACAAGAGATGAATGGACTCAGCTGACTGCATGTTGGCTGCATGTTGACTGCATGTTGGCTGCATGTTGGCTGCATGTTGGCTGCATGTTGGCTGCATGTTGGCTGCATGGACTCACACCTGAGCACAGTCTGTACAGACAGATCAACCTAACAGTCCCATTAGGGTCAAAGGTCAGACAGCAGCAAGCCCGGAAAGTCACGTTTATTTGTATAAAACATTTCAGCAACAGAAAGTTCAAGATGCTTTACGTCATAAAAACATAATACAGTAATTAACTATGAATATCATCATCAAACAAATATATCAATCAATGTTCCATTGATTACTAATAATTCAGCTCTAAGCAGGTGGGATTACAGCTTTGAGTTAAAGGAGCTCAGTGATAAACACACAAATGACATTGTAACATAACCAAAATGTTTGCAGAATATTTCTGAATAAATTTATGAAAGATTAAATGTATCAAACTGTTTTGTAGAAACAGTTGCTGTTTATTTCATTGTTTAAGTTATTCCATATTTCAACTGTTTAAAACTGATTTGGGGCAAAAATTATGATGGTTTTAGGTGTGGCTGAAATTAATGTATAAAGAGGGGCGTGCGGCGGCGTGCGGCGGCGTGCGGCGGCGTGCGGCGGCGTGCGGCGGCGGCGGCGTGCGGCGGCGGCGTGCGGCGGCGAGCGGTGGCGGCGGCGTGCGGCGGCGGCGTGCGGCGGCGGCGTGCGGCGCGGCGGAATACGCTCATTGATCAAGTCAGTGACTTGATCGAATAATTAAAACAAGTCAAAAAAATCAAAGAAAAGACATAAACAGTAATCACTCTTTATCTATGATGCAAAAATGAATTTTTCTGATTCCGTTTTATTCTGATTTAAGCAGAACAAACTTTATTCCTCAGGCTCAGAACCAGATTCCAGGATCTTATTTGTCTTCTTCTATGGTACAATAGATATGATTCTCTTCTTTGGTGACATAACTGAGTCCTGATAGATGGGGTTCTCATAAATGGAGTTTCCATATGTGGATTTCTAAAAGGAGTCACATAAACATTTGTTATTTCACTCAGTTTCAGAAAGAGATTAATAAAGTTAAAACATTGGAACTAAAAGCAGAATCTGAGGAAATGATGCAAATAGGAGCAAAAGCTCCTTTATGATCAGAAAACGTACCACAGCATTTGATCCAGCTTCGTTCTCTGCATCTGTTAAACAATTTATAGTTATTGTTTATGAAGCTGAATGTCTTTAGGGTTTTTGAAATGATATAAGAATTATCTTAATCTGATTAGTTTAAAATAGTGCTTTGTGATAAAGTTAAACATCCAGATCAGTCTTCTTAAACAGACACATGTTGGGAAACTTTTTTGTTCATGCAATAAACATACAACACCAATCACTTACAGAGCCTACTTAAAGTATTAACAGCCCTCAATATTTTCAGTTGTTGGGTGGTCATTTATATTTGTCAGCATTTTTTGTTATATCAGGTACCATGTGATGGAGGAAACAGGTTTCCTTGCTTATGTTTGACCAAAAGAAATGAATCTTGGTGCTGGTTTTATTCAGAACTATGTAGAAGGAATTTCGGAATTACAGGTTCCCCAAGATTTCAACCGATATCTATTCCATACATGTGTGATATGTTTTTATTTAAAGAATTCCAGCAATGGACTGATGACTTTATCTGTTACTTTAAAACCTAAGTCTCATCAGACAGTTATCTGTCTGATGAGACAAATAGTTCAATTAAAATTGAACTATTTGGCTATTTTCCTCATAACCAAGTGGTTCCCCAATTTGGAAATTTTGGTCTAAATAACTGGTTTTCTGAATAATTGCCCTAAGTAATTAATTATAGTTTTCATAACCAAAACTAGACTTCCATAGTGGCATTACAATAACGTCCCCTGATAACAAATATGGCGTCATTTGGAATTTATGTTTTGGTGGCAGTGTTAAAACGCCACTTATTGGCCCCGTGTGCCTTGATCTGAATATGAACCACCTGCCCTGATTCTTCTAAATAAACAGCACCAAGGCTGAGTCCAAAGACTTCCAGTCCAGATGTTCTCCAGTGAACTCATGACTCCACCTCACCACCAGGTGGAGCCAGAGACTCATCTGATTCTAACTGTAAATCTGGTCCAACAGAAAGAGGATTCTCCACTTCCTCCATCATGATACAAAACATTTGTTTATTTAGGTAAATATTTCAGTTTGTTGCTCCTGATCAGAGTGTTGTGAAGGTGTGTGTCGGTGTGTGTCTTTGTGTGTTGTGTGTGTCGGTGTGTGTGTGTGGGTGTGTGTGTGTGTGTGTGTCAGTGTGTGTCGGTGTGTGTCAGTGTGTGTCAGTGTGTGTCAGTGTGTGTTGGTGTTGTGTCGTTGTGTGTCGGTGTGTGTCTTTGTGTGTTGTGTGTGTCGGTGTGTCAGTGTGTGTGTGTCTGTGTCAGTGTGTGTCAGTGTGTGTTTGACCTCTCAGAGATCTTCTCCTGCAGGAAACCAGCAGAGCTGCTGAGATCAGAACCACCAGGGCAGCCAGAGTCGCACCAACAACCACAGGAACATCTGCAAGGGTCAACAAGCCGGTTCACACTGAGCATGCTCAGAACCTGCTAATATCTACTGAATATCTGGATGCACATAAACAGAACCCAGAACCATCAGAACCTGGTTCAGTTTTTTTTTATTTTTCTCTACAAATCAAGTTCTTGCTGCATGTTTTGAACAAAACCACTGAGAATATATAAACAAAAACATTATTATGAAGATTTTTATAGATGACTCACAGACGGAAGATTTTTTTTTGTTATCCTGAAACTGAGCCGAGTCGTTATTGATTTTAAAGATCTTTGATGTGTGAAATTTCCTGAACTGGAGTTGAATCTCTGAGTCGTTGCTGTGGAAAAGTAAATAAGATCAGATATCAATAAATCCATCTTTATTTATAGAGGAACTTAAACACACAAAGTGACATAAATGCTGTGCAGGGTACTAAAGTAACCACAAAAACAACTCCAATGAAACATGAAAAACTATCAAATTAAAAAGAAGCAAAAAAAGAAAATGATTCAAACATGAGACTTTAAAACTGACTGAAAACATGAGCAGAAATGGAGCTGAAAGTCTGCGAAGTTACTGCTGGTGTGGAGCTGGATGGGCCAACTGGACGGGCTGGAAGGAGAAAAAGAAACAGATCAATCAATCAATCAATCAATCAATCAATCAACCTTTACTAATAGATGACTCCACACACTCAAAGTGACAGAAATGTTGCACAGATCCATACAGCAAAGTATGAAAAATGAGATGAATAAACACAAAAAACAGACAAAATAATAAAGACAGAAAGAGAATCATTCATGATCATTTCTGCTCAATTAGAGACTTTAAAACCTGAACCGGAGCTGGACAGGTTGACAGCTGGAATCAATCAATCAATCAATCAATCAATCAATCAATCAATCAATAAACATTTATTTACAGAACACTTCACACCCACATGACCAAAGTGCCGTTTGGCTCATAAATCATGAGCAAAAAAACAAAAACATCTACAATAAATCAGGAAAGAACAACTAAAAAAAAGCAACAAAAAAAAAAAAGCAAAAACATTAAACTGGAATAAAACTGGAAAATTACCACAAAACCTGAAGACCTGAAAATATCTCATGTTTTTTACATTTCCAACAAAGAAACTTAGAGGTTCCTGAATAACTCCAAGGTTTTTGAAACTACAAAGTTTCTAAACTATAGAAGTTTAATCCAGTAAAAACTCACCCCGAGTGACGATGATGTAAAAGTCTCTGTGTAGATCTGATCGAATCGCTCTGTCCAGTTTACATCGGTACCATCCAGAGTCAGACTGGGTCAGCTGTGAGATGGTCACCAACAGAACTGCTGATTTTCGTCTTCTATCGTATTCAATGCTGTATCTGCCTCTGTCAGCTCCGACTCCATCAGTCTGAACTAGAACTTCATCTTTTCCACATTCTCCTCTGCAGAACAGTCGTTTCCATCCAGAGTCTTCAAAGGAGCAGGCGACTGTCAGTGAACCGCCGGCGTCACTATGGAGGCGAGGAGCATTGTTCCCATCCAACGAGCTGTTAGAATAATCATCAGTCAATAATCATCAGTCAATGATCATCAGTCAATGATCATCAGTCAATGATCATCAGTCAATGATCATCAGTCAATAATCATCAGTCAATGATCATCAGTCAATAATCATCAGTCAGTGATCATCAGTCAGTGATCATCAGTCAATGATCATCAGTCAATGATCATCAGTCAATAATCATCAGTCAATGATCATCAGTCAATGATCATCAGTCAATGATCATCAGTCAATAATCATCAGTCAATAATCATCAGTCAATGATCATCAGTCAATAATCATCAGTCAATGATCATCAGTCAATGATCATCAGTCAATAATCATCAGTCAATGATCATCAGTCAATGATCATCAGTCAGTGATCATCAGTCAATGATCATCAGTCAGTGATCATCAGTCAATGATCATCAGTCAATGATCATCAGTCAATGATCATCAGTCAATAATCATCAGTCAATGATCATCAGTCAATGATCATCAGTCAATGATCATCAGTCAATAATCATCAGTCAATGATCATCAGTCAATAATCATCAGTCAATGATCATCAGTCAATAATCATCAGTCAATGATCATCAGTCAATGATCATCAGTCAATGATCATCAGTCAATGATCATCAGTCAATAATCATCAGTCAATGATCATCAGTCAATGATCATCAGTCAATGATCATCAGTCAATAATCATCAGTCAATAATCATCAGTCAATGATCATCAGTCAATAATCATCAGTCAATGATCATCAGTCAATGATCATCAGTCAATAATCATCAGTCAATGATCATCAGTCAATGATCATCAGTCAGTGATCATCAGTCAATGATCATCAGTCAGTGATCATCAGTCAATGATCATCAGTCAATGATCATCAGTCAATGATCATCAGTCAATGATCATCAGTCAATGATCATCAGTCAATGATCATCAGTCAGTGATCATCAGTCAATGATCATCAGTCAATGATCATCAGCAATGATCATCAGTCAATGATCATCAGTCAATGATCATCAGTCAATGATCATCAGTCAATAATCATCAGTCAATAATCATCAGTCAATGATCATCAGTCAATAATCATCAGTCAATGATCATCAGTCAATGATCATCAGTCTAATCATCAGTCAATGATCATCAGTCAATGATCATCAGTCAGTGATCATCAGTCAATGATCATCAGTCAATGATCATCAGTCAGTGATCATCAGTCAGTGATCATCAGTCAATGATCATCAGTCAATGATCATCAGTCAATGATCATCAGTCAATGATCATCAGTCAGTGATCATCAGTCAATGATCATCAGTCAATGATCATCAGTCAATGATCATCAGTCAGTGATCATCAGTCAATGATCATCAGTCAATGATCATCAGTCAGTGATCATCAGTCAATGATCATCAGTCAATGATCATCAGTCAATGATCATCAGTCAATTATCATCAGTCAGTGATCATCAGTCAATAATCATCAGTCAATAATCATCAGTCAATAATCATCAGTCAATAATCATCAGTCAATAATCATCAGTCAATAATCATCAGTCAATGATCATCAGTCAATAATCATCAGTCAATGATCATCAGTCAATGATCATCAGTCAATAATCATCAGTCAATAATCATCAGTCAATAATCATCAGTCAATGATCATCAGTCAATAATCATCAGTCAATAATCATCAGTCAATGATCATCAGTCAATAATCATCAGTCAATGATCATCAGTCAATAATCATCAGTCAATAATCATCATTTATCTTTTGTTTTAACATTTTGATTTAAATGTTTTCAGTGTTCTCAGAGACTCACCGTCTACAACAACCAGCCTGAAGTCCTGGAATGAAGCTGATGATGATGATGAAGAGTCGGTCAAACCACATCGGTACCGGCCGGCGTCGGACCGGGTCAGCTCTGAGATGCTCACATACAACCGAGTATGTTCTGGAAGCTTCTCTGACATATTCAGTTCTGTACCGTCCGATCTGAGCTGCAGCATCACTGGTTCTGATCAGGAGGTTTTCTCCCTCACAGGTTTCCCTGCAGAAGAACTTCAAGGCTCCAGATGAGAAAGAGACACATGAAATCAAGACGTCTTCCCCAGTAACTCCATATTGTCTCAGAACTTCAACTGTTCTCATGTCTCTGACCTGCAGGGCTGCAGAAAATAA